TAGATTTATTTGCTCAGTCCAGCAGTGTTTCAAGGTAATATAAATTAGCTTTTGCAGTAAACATCTCAAGAAAAAAAATTCCTGAAAGTGTGGTATAAAAAGATTGTAATTGTAGCTAAATTATGCAACTTAGATTTTACTTCTAGTTTGCATGTTTTAGGAGAAACCTCCATGCTATTTATCAAATATGTGAATTTTTATGTCTGTTTGTAACCTCAAAAATTTTGGGAGAAATCTGATCTAACTCTCTGCTGTGGTAAATTCTACTGTTGTTGAAAACTTATAACACACTTTTCACAGAGCTATGTCCATATGGGAAAGCAGTCTACAGATTACTTCTGTGTGTAGTATACTTGGAGCTTGGTTTGGAGCATTTCCTATTCCTCTGGACTGGGATCGGCCTTGGCAGGTTAGTATGTACACCCTTACCATAAAGGTACAAAATACTAATTTTTTGGAGATGCACACTACACAAAATTGCTCTGAAGCTGTTCAGGTGTATTGTACTTGGTCATAAGCTATTCCTACAGAGTTATGCCAGACTTTTAAAAACTCATTGAAAACATCTGTGCTTAGGGTGTAAGGAAGTAAAATGCATTATTTTTACTTCCAGTTTAAATAGGTTCTTTAATACCTGTGAGTGTCTGTTGCATGCAAATTTTATAATGGAATAGAGCTCTTAATGATTTGAATAAGAAGAAGCTAGACAAGCTGGAGAAGAAATGTGAAATGATGAAGATGGTTTCAAGTTTGCCTTCAGTCTAGTAGCTTTTATTGTTCACAGGTAGGGAAAGAAAAATGCTTTCCTTGTGTTTTAGCTCCCCTCTGTCTTCCATAAAAGCACTTAACAGAAAGTATTTTGAATGGATTTAGATCAGTTTGTGGAAACAGTATAGCCAGAGCACTGTACTAAACACTTCTGATTTCAAAGGAAGGCAAACATTAGCTTTTTAGTTGAACAAGAAAAAATGTGAAGCTGGCATTGCAGATTCTATCTTTATGAATTGCAATGTTTATGCTAATTTCTTACTCTGTTTTTTTGGCATGGAGAAGTGATTCAATTAAACGTAACTAAAGTCTGCGATTGCCATAAAATGATGGCACTAGTAACAGCTTCTTCCTACATGTGCTCAGTGTTTCATAACTTTGTCTGGATACCAAATTCATACACTCTTAGCTGAGTAGCGTCTACCAGGCCTGTCCTTAAGCAGATGGTTTCAGGGGTTTCTTCCAGAAATCAGTGTAACAGGCAGCACATTTTCCTCTGTGATATTGTGGAGATGCTGTGGCTTACAGCTGCACTTAAAATTTGTCTTCTGTAAATAGCTCGCAGCCTGCTTTTATGCCATTAGTCTTTCATTGCAGTAGTGTAATTAGATATTAGAATTTGTATTTCAAAAATAATGGAGAAGTAGGTTAATATTGTAAGCAAAACATTTTCTTCCCTGAAGACATTTGGTTTATTCTTGCAAGATGTTTCACCATCAATCTGGCATAGGTATGTGTTGACACTTATTAATTGTTGACATGAATGTAACCCAAAAATCAAGGGATTCACTGAAATGCAATCTCCTATCTCCTTTCCAAGTCTTCCTCACTTCCCTGTCCTGATGAGAGGCAAGCACTTTTTCCTTGCTCAGATGGGATTTTAAAGTAGCGTGTCTCATCTGGCAGATTTTGTTTTATTCCCAAAATCTCAGACTTTGCTAATGTGCTGTGTATAAAACCTTCACCTTTTATGCAACAGTGATATGAGGAAAATTTAGGATGGGGGCTCTGATTAACAAAACAAAGACACTAATAGCTGAAGACAGATACTTTAGGTGGAGTTAATTTTCAGCTTTTGGTCCATTCCCACATGTTCCAATAGTGGGAGACACAAGTTTGATAATGGTTTGAAAACTTTTGCTGTTTGTAAACTCTTCCAAGTTAATAAAAGCCAAACACGACTGAAAATTTAGCTCTGTAATCTACACTTAAGGATCTCAAATGATACTTTATGACTTGTCAGAAACAGCAAATCATCTGCAGAAACTTTAGATATCCAAACTTGTCACTGGCTGTTTCTTGGTATGAATGCTCCCCAGTGCTCCCTGTGTGTCTGCAATTTCCCTTTTCCTTCACCATCTCCACCCTCATTTCTGACATACTCCTGATACCTAAGTTAGCAGGGGAGAGTTTATGACTCAAGTTCTACATCAAAGATCTTTTGACTAGATCTAGAGCATTTGCTGCTGTTCTTTCCCTTCCCCTCATTTTTCCCATTCTCACTTCTCCATCTTACACATTATAGAGTTTTAAATAGTGGGATGGGGGTAGAAATTTTTTGTTCCACTTTGAGTCTGACCTGCTTGATCTTTAATGATGTGGGCAGTTCAAGAGCAGCCATAGAGAGTTTGCTTATCAGTCCTGCAGGCTGCCACTCCAACAGTCTTTGAAAACTACAGTTTTAAAGACTAATTTTTTAAGGTCTGCTGCATTAGGGGAGATTAAAATGTAATGTAGTTTTTACAAGTCCAGTTGTTTCAGCAAAGCAACATAGTGACATACCAAAATTGTAACAGGTTTTCAATGCAGAAATCAACCTCTTTAAAATAGCTTGTCAAGGCTCCTGCTCACAACTCTCAGAAGTTTCCAATCACCTATTAATAATCTAATATTTTTGTGAAGGTGATCTCTTAACTATTGGTCACTAAACGATCGAAGTGTGGGGGCAGTGTCCTGGCCAGGCATTTTCAGTATTTGCCCAGGAAACACTGCTTCCCAGCTCTTGCTCAGCTCAGCCAAGAGATATATTGAGATATATTGTGAATCAAGTTCTGGAGAAACACAACTTCATGCAAAAGCTGGATGTCTTTTGTCTTTTTATTCCTACTGAACAGTATGGATTCAGCAACCCAGATATTGAATGTAGTAGCTGCATGACTGTCTCAGAAATTTTCAGAACCAAAGACATTTCTGTTCTTCAGAAGTTCACTGGGCACTGGCACAAAACCTGTTTTTGCAAGAGTATTCCTTTTGCTACCTGATGTCAGGTGATTACAGAAACTCACAGTAAATTCTTTCACTGTAATAGTAAAAGAGAAGTGCTTTCTGTGTTGTCTTCAACTTCAGACAGGGGAAAGAAGAGTGATCCCCAGAAAAGTTGTTGCAGATCTGTTTAGTTTGTGAAGAAGATCTTTAGTGCTGATTGCCCCTGAGTGACCTAACCACTTACTGAGTGTAAAAATGCCTGCACATAATACAGCTGCAGGATTAATAATAATAGTATTTTTTAATCTCCCCCAAATACAAGGACTACTAGTATTTTGTACAGAGCTTAAGTTTGCACAGAACTCTGTAGAACATCAACTGGTATGTTTAAGGGAACACCTATGGATTAAGTCCCAAGCAAGGTCTGAAAGAAATCATGTAGATCTTAATGTAGACTTAAAAGTAATCAGATCCCAGTCAAAACCAAATTACTTCTAGATAGCTGCATGAGTAAAGTATTAAGCTGTCATGCTTCTGACATAAGCTGTTTCTCATATTAGCCTAAAAACAGAGAGCTTGAGGATTAGTTTTGGATTTACTCTTTTCCTATCCAAAAATGGACTCAAATGGAACAGCTTAGTCTTTGGACTCAAGACCAGCTTCTGAGATAAAAAGAGGTTTCATTAGTGATTATTTTACTTTTTGTATTTTAGCCTTTGTGCTGTAAACAATTTTTTTTTTGATCTGTAGTGAAATGGTTCTGCTTTAAAGCAGAAAATGGGGTTTAAATCTATTACTTGGGGAAGACTAAAGTGGTATTATTAGAGAGCAGTGTTAAGGCCTTTTAGCCTGTTTATTGCAAAATCTGGTTCTGATGTTTGTATTGATTATAGTTAGTATTTGTGGTGTTAGTGTGCAGTGGAAACACAGCTGCATTGCTACCTGTAACTTCTGACAATTCATTATTGGCAAATTGTCACAGAAGAGATGAAATTGTTACTACAAGAATGGGATGGATCAGCAATAATTGAGAAATATCACATAATAAAGCAAACCAAAGGGGTTTTGCTGCTGCCCTTGGACTCTCTTAGTAGCCCTGGAATGTCAAAAGTTGTCAAAACCACAAAATATCCAGCTGGTACAGAAATGCAATGTGTTTGGGATGAAAAATGCTATTGATTTAGCTTTATTAAAGCAATATAATATGAGACAAGGTACACAGAAAAAGTCAGTGTCTTGAATTGGCATATTTTTCCACTTAATTGGGATTTAGCACTTAATCAGATCTGGTGTCTACACTTTAAAACTGTAGACAGTTTAAGAGTGTCTACAGTCAACTTTTAAATTGAAAAATCATTCAGAAATGGGAGAAAGTAAAGCTGCTTCTGTGAAGTCTGATTTATTCATAGAAATGGCTTCAAATGGAATGGTAGTCACTCACCTAAAGCAAACAAGAGGTTGGAGGGAGTACTGAGAATGCTGGAATCCCAGTAGAGTATTAACTAAAGCTATCTGCACTATTCTGTAAGATACGTGTCTGAATTGCCAGGCTCGTACCTACCACAATTCTTCTGCTTTATGTCCTTCAAAGAAAAAGCAACATTGGTTTCATGTTTTGCTACTGTTTCCCTGCCCTTGGCAGTCTGTTTTGAGTCTATCATATTTTCCTGCAAACTTCATAGAAGAACTTAAAAATTACCTGGTAATCATTGCTTTACATTGTGGTTGAGATGTATCAGTAGAATTTGAGAAATCTTTTGTACTATTACCTGGATCTTACCTGGTCAGAAAATCAGATGTCAGCGTCCTATGCATCTTTCACTAAAATTTGTTTTTACTTCAAAGTACTTCAGGGCTCTGTGGAGTAAACCTGATGATGAATTTCATAACAAGAGTTCCAACTCATGTGCTGATGACTAAAGCCCAAATGCTACTTCATCCTTACTTATTTACAAACCAAAGGAAACATACTGCTTTTTTATACATACGTCTTGTGACATGCAACAAAACTGAGATAAATACAGGTGTCTCAGAAAATCTTCACTTTATTTTCCATGTTTTTGTTTGAAAAATATTGCATACAGGGGATATTCAGATTAGTGTGCCTCTCTACCTTTAAAAATAATGTTAATTGCATTTTTTTAAGCATACAACAACTTCTATGCTAAGTAAATATTACTTAGCTGGAACAGAATATTGTTTCAGAAATAAACATTAATTTTCTGAATAATGTTTGAGAATGGAGATGAAAAATATATAAAGCATTTCTGTTAGAAGTATAAAATTTATGGCTGAAAGTTCGTTTGTGTCCTATGATTTTTTTCATTATTCTGTTGTTCTTAAAGCAACTTTCAAGCATGCCATGTATGTTACTCCTCTGCTACCTTTAAGAAAAATTTTGTAACTATGCAAAACAGTTGGTCAGGGAGGCCTAGTCTGTTATTATTCCTGGTTGTAGGTCTATAGAATTCAGCTTATCTCAGACAAAGGTAAAGATAATTCCTTACAGGCAGGAATGCAGGTTAGACACTACAGTAGTTACATTTCTGTATTAAAAACAAAAACAAAAAAAACCAAAACAACAAACTTTCCAGGACTTGTTCTGCCAGGCATGTTTCAGTTAGACTGTTAAGACCAATTTTGCCAGTGTTTTGAGATTATCTCATTTTTCAGCAATTTTTAAAACAGTTTGCAACACTTAGTTGTGATTATTTAAATAAGGGTATTCTAGACAATTTAGAGTTGTACATCCATCTCAGATGCCTCTAGGCTGCTGAAGCACAATGGGTATGTAAGGGTTACAGTTAGCTAGGACAGTTCTACAAAGAAATAGAAAATAACTTCCTTTGTTACAGTTGCTTAGTTTTTCCAGATTGCCTGTTTCAAGCTGATGGTGTGCTTTTAATAACCACATGTGATGAGGATCCTGGCTGCGTGTGTCACTGAGAAGTGGAACCTTAGAACACACCACCACTGAAACAGAAGGAAGGGGATGATGTAGGAGTTACTAGGCACATCCTTTCTCGACTCAGCTTGAGGAAACTAGTTGCAGAACAACATGGTATAGTGAAGAGCACAGCTTTATCAGCACACTTTATATGTGGTGGAACTATTATTCCAGACAAAGCATTTGCCATTGACTGGATTTAGCTCACTGGGGAATTCCTGGGTTTATTGCATATTTTGATAACAGACTTTTAAATCAAGTCTCTGTGTTTGTTATGTGCATGCCCTCCCATACATTCGGGGTTTATTGGTAGCATAATTTTGATCTGTAATACCTGTTATTAGTGGTAAAAAGTGACTTTGAAACAATATTCTGCTTACAATGTTATCATTAGGTAGAAGAAAAATTGCTATATTCCTACTTCATAGTGGATACTGCAAGCATAATAAGTAGTGCTGATATAGCTCACCTGAGTTGACTGACTGCCACGTAATTCAGCCAATATGACTGTAAATATTAGCCTTAGATACTTCTCAGACATTTGTAGCCTGAAAAATAATCCACAGAATCTTGGGTACAGTTCTTGGTGCTTACTCAAGTAAGCTGGAATGGGACTATAAACTTTCACTTTACTTTGGTTCTTCTTAACACAGCTCAGAGAGATTCCTTCTTGTATTCCTTTTTGGATCTACTACCTACTGTGAAAGTTTTGTTATAAGAGAAGTTGCTTAATATGAGAAGAAGGGATAATACGCAGTTGGAGTTGTTTTAAACAGAGGTAGAAGCTTATTCCACTTTAGTGTGGTTATCATTTTTTATTTAATAATGTGTTTTCTCAATGTAAACTTTAATGGCGAGATCAAAGGCTGTTATGCTTGCTATAACTTTAGAACACAAATCCATGAAATAACTTCTAGTTACAAATGCCAGCCTGAAAAAAGCCTCACACTTTCTTCTTGGTGTGTGCTTGTCAACACACACATTCTGTACAATGTGATAAGACACTTGTAGTTAATATGTGCATGCAACCAAAATAGATTAAAGGCATGTACTGAAGTTTTTAAGACAGTACAGACTAAACAATCAGGAATTTAAGGCATGTTAGAAACAGGGAGGGAAAATAATTGTGCTCATTTATTCAGTTTTAAAATGAAACAAAAATAATTACATAGCCTTCTAATTGACAGTCAGAAATCAGTCTTTTGAAACAGTAAGCATACAAAAAATCGTGTTTAGGAATATGAGAAAAACACTCTTAAGATTACTGCAAAGTAAGTACAGTAGATTGCCCCACTGTATTTGCATTTGTATAATGAAAGTTCCAACAGGCAGCTGCTTACTTCGTAATATTTTTAAAACTCTGTGTTGCTCCTCTGGTCTATAAGAATCTGTCCCTTATGTCCTTATCAATATCTATGTAATTCCTTTGCATGGGATGCAAGACTCATAATAGATGACACAACTGTCATTCAGTCAGAATTCTGGTTTAGCTAGCTACATGCACAGTACAGCAGAGCTAGATACCTTGCTGGGATCCTGCAACATGCTCTGCTTTCCATGCAATATGCTAAGCATTCTCACGTCTTAGAATCTTAGGTGTTCTAAAGAGCACTGAGGAAAGCTAGCTCATTTGTGTCCTGAAAGGTTGGCAATTCCTATTTTGAGTCATTATTCTTAAAATTAGTTCTAATATATACTAAAAACCTTGCAGTTCTGCAGTGTCTGTTAAGCTAGCCTAAAGAAATTCCTGAAGTCCAGCACTGCTGCCAGATGAAAAGGCAAAAAGAAAATTTAAATGAATAGTGGAAGTCAGAATCATTTTGCATTTAACACTGGCTCATGCTCTGTCCATTAAAATGCATTTTTTGTTCTTGTTAAGATTTGTTTTTGCCAAGCTGCTGTTCAGGTTCCTAGTAGTCATCTACAGGTTGTTACAATTGCCCTTTTCATCATGCATTTGATATGTAAACTGATTCTTCTTGTGTTAGGCTGTGAGAATGGTAGCTGATGCTTCCCAGCTGCTAAGACAGATAAGGCATTTCATGACAGTTTCATGAAAAATGTTCTGTTCTATCTCCTGCGCTCCCCACACTTTTCTCTCCTGATCAGCCTTTTTTCCCCTCAGCAAAAGTGCAGCTAGGCCATGTGGCCTAACATCTTATTCCCCTGCTGCTGACCCTGCCCAGACATGACATCAGTACTGGGGCAGGATATGTCAGCTTCCTCAAGGCAGAAGGGAGCACGATGTAGGAGGAACTGAGCTGAAAAGTTCTCAGGGGATGGGAGGGGTGTATTACAAGTTGCATATTTTAAGCAACCAGAATGGAATCTCTGAAACAGGCAGAGAGATATTTGCTGCTTAGATTTCTGTCACTTACAGGCAGTTCATACCAAGTCAAGGACTTTAAACCAAGTTTGAGATACTATGAAAGATGGGGCAAAAGCAGGCCAATTGAGTAAGTCAAAGTCATTTAAAAAGGTCCAGAAGAAAGTGATTGGGTCTCAGAAAAATGAGGCCAGCAGCTAATACAAAATAAAGCAACCCACTTCTACAGGAAGAAGCAACCCATTTTCGTAGACAATCAAAAGCATGTGAAAGTGGTGTTATTTTAGTGCAGCTGATGTGCTTAAGAGCCATATCTTAATCTGTCTTTGATAACTTGCTGCTTTAGATATACCCATGGGTGCCTCGGGCTATTTGTAGCCTAAAAGCCATCAGTCAAGAATAAAAAGTGCAAAACTGGTGTTACTACTTGTTTGTTAGGGGATTTTGCCGGGTCTTAAGGGTTAGAGAAAATGGCAGAAGGACAGCAACACTTTTAAGTTCAGCCTTTTAACTGCTGTGCTTAGGGAGTTCTCAAAAGGCCAAAATGCCCTCAGAACTACTAAGGCCTGTCCAAGCAGCACAGTAAGAAAAAGTGCCTGGCCTGGTACCCCTCTGTTCCATGCCACTAGAAGGGATGAGGTGGTGTCTCTTTCTGTCTTACTCATAGATGGGGAGATGGCATGTTTTGTGTTTTCTTCCCTTTGTTCCCTATCTTTTCCACTTGCCATTTGTGAGTGTTCAGAGGTCACAGTTTCAACTGTTAAGAGAGAGAGCCTGAAACTTATGTAAGGTAACACTGACTTCTAAAAACCAAAGCAAAAATTGAACATTTTAGAAGACAGACAGAGGCATAATTAATATTAAAAGTGACATAGCTATTGAAAAAACATGTCTCAAGTTGCAGTTCAGTCAGGTGAAAGAGGCTACAACAATCATCCGAGATCTTTTTAATCATACCAATAATCACCCACTATACACAAAATAGCACAATATACAGGGTCATTGGGTCATCAGGGATATTCACTGTCTAGTTAGGGGAATATGATCAATTCAGAGTCCATAATCTACCTATAGTTTTGGAAAGCAAATAGGCAACTACAAATTCACCTAATGTAGGTAAAAAATTAATGAAGGATTGATCATTGATCACTCAGAAAATTTGATATAAAAGCACCACTGTGTTAAGAAGCCTTTGTCCATAGTTTTCTGAATATTGGTATTTGACTTCATCAGTGGATAAAAAAGTACGACTTGCCATCTGAACATTACTGAGTGAGCAGAAGGGTTTCAGGGACTTTATTGTTTTGTCCTTTAGACATGTGTAATATGCAAAATGCTAGAAATAATTACATTTTGTTTAAAAGTTGAAAAGATCCACCTGAAGTGTAAGTTTAGCCAAGGCCACAAACTTATGTGAGTTTCAAATACATGTAGTACTTACCATACCAAAGCCTCTCAAGGCTTTTTATAGATGACCTACCATACACAGTAAATGAATGAAAACAAGCAAATCTTTGGCTTGAGAGGCAACTGCTGAAATACTCAGCAACCAAAACAAGCAGCAGAGACAGAATGTATGAAAGTGAAAGAATGAAACAAGGTCAATAAAGAGTACCTAAGGCACCTTGTTTAATAATCATCTTTGCTACACTCCTTAAGACCTCCAAATAACATATAAAGCTGTAAATGCTAAGGAATGTGAAGATGAAACAACTGAGGAGATTGAAGATGAAAGGGCAGAAGACAAAGTACATTACTCTTACTCGTAGTTAAAATTCCTATGATCAAAGGATGTGAATAAATATATTCCTTTAAGTGATAATGAAGTAAAGAGAAGAATCAGAGCTAGGAAAATGAATGAAAGGAGGAACCAGTACCATTAAGAGTAAGTTCATTTGATATTCATGAATTGCAAGTCAAAGTGAAGTAAAAAAGAAGGCTGGAGATTGGGATATTTCCTCTATTGACTAGTGCATTTCTCAGTCTCAACTGCTATGGGAGGGAGGGGTAATATCCCCTTTAATTTAAAAAACAAAAGAATAGTAGAGTCCAGTCCATACTTGCTTTAGGAATATGCAGTGTACAGTAGGAACTGCAAACTTGTCCTTGGGAAAAAAAAAAAAAAAAAGAAAAGAAAATTTTAAAGAGGCCTGGGAATTGTATTTATTCTAAAATAAATAAATTAATTACCACCTTAGTTGAGACTTTCATCAAATGCAGTATGTAATGGACTGGTACTATAAGCTACATCTGATGACAAACAAGTCTTGGTTCGGCCACTCCCTGCAAATCAATACCAATTTAAAAAAAAAGAGCAGGGAAGAATTCCATTACTACGCCGGCTCAATACAAGATGGTTTGTTAAAGAGAGTGAGATCTATTGAGTTGGCTTCCTTTTCTTATAATAGAAAATAGAGCATATAATTAAAGCTCTCTCATTCACATAACTGGCTTACTACAAGTTTGATGATCTGGGTGCAAGATGGTCAGTCAGCTTCCAAATTTGTGTTCCCTCCCTGCTGCTAACCAGAGGCAAATTTATCCTTTCATATACTTTTCAAGAAAAAAAAGCCAACAAACCTCTATCTATCTCAGTCTCTGACCTTATTTGAATCCTAATTCCTCTATACACACCTGAAAGTTTCAAAACACCATAAGAGATTGAAAGGAGAAATTGCTGAGAAGTCTGTAGGTATCCAACTGTGTACAGCAGAGTAGGAAGTTAGGTCAGCTGAATGCTTCAGGGGATATAGATAGTTCTAAGGGGTGTTTCTTTCCACATAGTTTTTGGACTAGCAAACTAAAATCTGCAATAGCCAGAAGCCTGCTTACATTTTAATGGATATTAACTAAAAACTGTACAACAGCATTTAGTGTTCATGAAGATGATTGTTATGCTTTTGGCATTTTTAGGAAAGCACATCAAGCTTTAAAGTAGAATAAGACTACTGTCTTTCAGTACCTAGACTTTGTGCTCATGAAGTACAAAAAACCACAGACATTTTCCTCATTGTCTGCTTTTACCTTGCATCCTCCCCACAGGTATGGCCCATTTCCTGTTCCCTCGGAGCTACCTTTGGCTATATGGCTGGTCTGATTATTGCACCTCTGTGGATACACTGGAACCGGAAGCAGCTTACATACAAAAGCAGATAACTGGAGCAAAAAGAGACAAGGTATTTCTTTGTGCAGATTCCATACAGACTGTGCAAAAGTTGGGGTTTTTTAAGATAGATATATATATATATATATAGTCAAAGCAGGAGACTGTCCATATTCAGTTAAAGTATTTCAGGCCAAGCATCTCCACTCAGTAAAATCACATAGATGCTGTTTCAGCATGGTGCAGTTTTTGCTTCCTCTAGACTGTGTAACCCTGAGAGATTGTACCTTCCAGTCTGAATAAAATATTTGTAGCAGATGTGGTGGCTTCTTATTACAAGTTTGTTGAGTTTGATTTTATTCCTCTGGATTTCACTGGTTGTAGAAGGCAGAAATGTAGGTTTAACTTTCAAACCTGGAACAAATTCACTATGTACTTAATGCATTGTATTTAAAATCAGTAGAATTTCACAGTAAGCCTGGCCATTGTCAAATGTCTCTCACGTGATCAAACAGCAGTTTATGCATCTTGAGCCTATTCTCTTCTTCACTGTGTGTTTCTTTGGAGTTAGAATGGCTATAATAGCTTCATCAAAAACAGTCTTCAGTCCTTTCTGTGTTAAAGCTGAACACTCCACATAACAGTAGGCTCCTATCTGTCAAGAAAATAAGTAAATTCAATAGCAGTATGTCTCAGCTGTTCAATTCCATCTGGGCACTTCTGCTTTCCCCTCCCCTCCCCACCCCCCACAGCAACATTACAATGTTTAGCTACAATCTAAAAAAAATTATCTGAATGTGCACCCCCCTGTAGAAGAAAATAAGATTTGTCTTTTGTCCAAAGATCTGGAAAGTATTTAAGTTGGTTGGTTTCTATGGGAAACAAGTAAATTCTTTAGATTGGCAGTGGAGGCCTAAGATATGGTTGATAATTAAAGAGCAAAAAATAATTACATTACTCATTTATGTTTCAAAAATAAAGGCTCTGTAAATGTTCTGATAAGCATTATCCACACAGTAGTCACAGTGGTAGTATAACATTCTCAAATAATGTCTAAAAGATGCTTCCAACATTTTGCTTGAGCAGGAGAGGTCCCTTCCAACCTCAACCAGTTTTTGGATTTTAATTATCTTTGAGTAATATTTGTAAAATCTATAGAAGCTATATAATTGTCTACACTGAAAATTAGAACAATTACTGACAAGACAGTGTAATTACTTAGGTTTGCTCATTAATGTAAGTGTTGTTGACTCGTAAGCAGTCACAAGATTTCATATGTGGACTGCTAAAAGATATGCAAAAAGTGGTAAAGGAAGACAAAGTCAAGTAAAAATAGGGGTGTTTTGTTGTTGTTGTTCTTTGTTACTTGGTTTCATTTAGGAATATCCAATTTACCTCTTTTGCTAACTTCTGTCCTTGCTCCACAGATACGGGCTTCTCTTTCATATCATTCAGTCTTGCCAGAGTTTTTGGGTCATCACGGAGATCAATCTAGCAAGAAAGATTGAAGTCATGCTGGAATACTTTCTCTAAACAAAAGTCAGCAGACAATATGATACCCTATTTTTAAAGGAGAATCATTCAATGGAATATTATCTCTGTAAAAACGGAGTCATGTCATGATTCAGACTGTGGACCCTTCCTGATTCAAGAGCCCTCAATTTAAATTGTGAACCTTTAATCTAGAAGGAAGAAACATTTATTCTGTAATTCAGCACTTCAGTTAGATGTGGTCATCTTAGAATACCAAATGCAGTGGCAGAAAGATTAACCCAAAGGTAACACCAATATGTGGGTCACTTCATAAATGAACCCCAGTCCACTATCCATGAGAAGCAAGAGGAAATTGTCTCATTTCTCCCCTTCTCCTTTGCTTCAGCAAATATTGCATGTGACTAATAGTTGTATACCCAAGTAATTCCAGTAACATGGGCATGAGCAGACAATTTTATTCACTAGGTCCCATGACTTTTTAGAAAGTCACATGGGAGACATGCAGTCCATCTTGCCACCATGTTTACAATGGACATAAGTTTTTTTTAACAAAATGGAGATAGCTCGTTGGAGAACAACACGTATCTGTGTTTTTTTTGCCACCTATAAGGGTTGTTCCTCCATAGGCAGAAGGAGGTGCTGCTCTGGTCCTGTTGGCCTCGACTTCCAGCCCACAGAAAAGGCACCATACAATGATCCTAATTGTTTAAATAAAGTAAAACAGAACCAAATATACCTGTGTTCCTACTAGTAAAAAGGGAACATTAGGTGCATATTCCTTCAACTCCGGTACCCACTCTTCTTTCACATTTTGAAATGAAGCAGGGTTTACCACTGAGAAGCAGATAAGGAAGACATCGGTCATAGGGTAAGATAAAGGTCTCAGACGATCATAGTCTTCCTAAGGAAGAAAAATTGTGTTATCTGCAATATTAAATTGTTGCCTGTATTTTAACAGTTATATTCAGAAACTGTATTTGTATTTCGTGAAGGTTGTGGAGGCAAACTTTCTGAATGTTTAAAACTATTCCAAGTTAGTTACTGTCGCCGTTAGAGCAAACTTTACATATGAAGATAGCTGTATATGAATATAAATATTTTGAAAAATGTCTTCATACTGATAGAAACTTTCTTCTCTATGAGAATATATAGAAGATTACCATTCAAAAAGTTTTCAGGAAAAAAACAAAAGGCTTATGGTTCAAGCATACTTGCAGATCAAAGACTAGTATTTGTAGAGAAATGAGCAGGTGTGACTGATGTAGTCATCCAGATTATACAAAGCTAGACTAGATTAAGGCTGTTCGATGCACTTAAATGTTCTATTTTGGATCATACACAGAGGTGATATTTAAAGCCCTCCTTAGAATTTCCTTTGTTTTTTAGAAACCTTACAGTCCTGTTCCTAGTATTCAGGGGAGTAGGAAGGATCAGAAGGGACCTCTTTTGTCTAGCCTGTGCTTTCTACTAGCAAGCCCAGCAAAGGATCAGATAGAACAGAAATTCAGAATCAAAAACACTGTGGAATATTAATGCGTTTGTTTGTTTGTTTGTTTGTTTGTTTGTTTGGAGTGTGGGAGAGGAGTTAATGTGAAAAGATTATTTAGGACATTTAGAGCCCCAGCATTTAAAGTCAGTAGTCCTACTGCCAGGGTATACTATACTGTGGCAAGACAAGTACCTAGGAGCATTGCCCCTCTTATAAGTCACAGTTCTCTCTAGCAGGAGAGAAAGTGGATTTTTGCCCTATGTTTTAGCTAACAGCCAGAGGGAACATGCCCCAGCTTCTCTCTGCAAGGCTTCCTTTAGTCTTTGGCAGTGAACCAATGCCTTACCATTCCTACTATAGAATTTTGGTGGGTTTTGCAACATAGATAACTAAGACTGAGGCCAGGCATTGCAGAGACACTAACAAATGCTGGATTTATACCTTCCACAGTAAACGTCAGTTTGTTAGGGCTGCTGCAGCAGTTTCCCTCTTTCCCATGTAAACTCCCCATCATAATTAAATCTCACAAATATTGCAATGATTTGTTCATTAAACATAGAGACAGACATGTAATTCAAGTCTGTGTTTGAAATGAGACAGAAAATTAAATTTTTGTTTCCTTGGGAACAGGCACATTACCAGATTAGTAACCTACAGTCACGCCCTCAGAAACACCCTTCATTGATTTGTTAGGTTTTAGACATGGTCACTAGAATTTCAGAAAAACTATGAGAACTTCCTCAGAACAGTTTCTGCTTGGCTCATTTTTCCATTTGGAAGTCAACAGCTGCGGGAAGAGAGCTGTTATTCTCATGAACTGGAGGAAAGACAAGCACAGGCAGAAATTCTGCAGTAGCAAGGAGGTGATCATTCCTTGTCATATTCTTGTGCCATTTTGAGTATCCACTCTAGTTTTGTGAACAGACTTGTCAATTAGCTAGAGCATGCTTAATTGTTGACAATTTCACAACCACAGTAACTGACACCACTTTGAAGCTACAACATTTCACAAGCCTTTTCGCTGCCAGTGTCAGGCTCTTGCCCTGATTCAGAAGACAGAAACAGTAACCATGTCTCTTCCAAACTTGTGGACATTCATCATAGAAAGCAGAAATAACTTCAAAACATCAACACAGGAAGTTGAAACTCTTTTGACATTCAGTTGGTTTTTTTAGACATGTATTTTATGTTTCACTTCTACTACTGAATATAGCTAGATCCTGCTCAGGCTTGCACTGTTTTCTGGGGTGGAGATTAAAATCCTAAAAGAAGCTTTTCAACTACCAATTACTCTGTTCCCTGGAGTACAAAATCTGCATGAAAGAGCACACAGTGGATCCATCAGTTGCTCTCAAATTCAGCTCTAAATCATATGTGGGGTATTAGTAAATAAGTTGTGCTTTTAAAAAAATCTAGTTAAAAGCTGTAATTTGTTCCTACCACCAAAGAGCTGCCATCCCTATACTCTACATTTTCTAAAAATCTCATATCTGGACTAGGATAACTAGAATACTAAATGCAGGAATGGAGAAAGCATTTCACTGTCACCAGAAATTACTGTTAGTCCATTAACATTAAAATAGCTCTTTAGTTAATCAGTTTCAAATTACAGATGGACCTTTTATTCAGAGCAAATATTAATCATTTTCTTAAAGCCAGTCTCAGGTCTGAACTCCGTTCCTGCTCCTGCATTTGTTCGTGTGCCTTTTGATTTATACCCTGCTCCACTTGCACTGGACCAGCTGTGGGCAAGCGTAATTAAGAGTTAAACATTAGGCAAGTACAATGTGATTGGATACATCGTGTACCACAGCCAAAGATGTGTGTGGCATTTGCTGCAGTGGCTTCACTGCATTTAAGCTTCCTTAAATTATCAGAGAATTTGGCTATACCCACCAGCCCTGCTGCTTGAAACATGACAGTGCTCTCAGGCTCGCCTTTAAACCTTGTCTGTGCTCTGAACATCAGGTGTGCATTGGTATTAATAGTGGCAGTACTTCTAACAAAGCCTGCCACCACATGATTGGACTGGTCCTGAGTCCTGGGAGAAACCCTGCTTAAATTTTGCCAGCATCTAGTAGGCCATCTGGGCTTAAAGACTCGTTCTGCCTCCCAACAGCCCCTCAGAAACAGCAATAAAACCTGTAAACTTTCTCTGATGTATTGGGCCAGCATAACTGCTGCAATTGGTAGAAGAATCTGAAATACCAAATTAATTTAGACTGAATGTTAGAGAAGCCTGGAAAAATCTTATTGCTTCAACTATAATTTATTTCCTGAATCTAGTGTAAGGGAAATAAATGTGGTTTATTCTAAACTTAAATGCAACAGCCAAATTTATTATACTAGCCAGTCAACATAAATTCCTGTTTGAGTGCCTGTACATACCATAGATTAATTAGACAATCTCTTTGGGGGAGGCACTGCATATATATTTAGACTTTAAAAATATTTAAGGATATTAGCAGGAATATTTTAAAAATGTGAATAAGATGGGCAAGAAAGCCTTTAAGGATTGAAATAGTATAAGTCTCAAAAACTTGAGGCTATAATAATGAAACAGCTCATTCTCCAACATACTCTGGAGTTTAAAGAAAATTGTTTGCTGAAGCAGGTGAATACAGAAAATATGAGAGCTGTAGTAACTTCAAACAAAATTGGACACAAGAATGTTGACTTAATTAATGTTCTGTGGAGCTGTGATCCCTCTAAAAGACACGACACTGCAGCAGGGCTGTTCATAATTTCCCTAGTATCCCTGTGGAAACCCAGGACAGCTGCCAGTACACAACAAACATAAAGAAGGAGATGAGATGAAGGAGCTAAGGACTTGGCTTCTCAGCTACAAACAGGGGCTTTTGTTTTTAAAGTGGAGAATGGAAATTCAGGCTTTAAAATTACCATGTCTTCTTATGGTAGGCTGAAGGTATGTCTAGCATTGCCTTTATCTTGGTTCCTTAAAATCTATCCTTTAGGTCTCCTTTTCCATATTACAGTACCTAATAATCTGCCTGAGATTTTCTGCTGCCTTGTATTTGAATACTGTATTTTGGATGGTGAAGAGGATTTGCTCTAACATGTCCAAAATCTGGCTATTTCCAACATTTACCTGTCCAGAAACAGAGGTCTTGAGAAACTTTTTGTATGCAGAATGATGAATGGTATTGCAATTCCACAGCATTATAATATTCTTCACTTCATGTGTTTGCTCAGACCAAAAGCAGAACACAGTGTCCCATTTCAAGTCATGCATTTGATTTTGAACTGATACTTTTACCCAGTTCTACAGATATCAGCTGAGACGCAGCTAAAGAAAAGGAAACAGTATTCCAAATTCTGCCACTGACACAGTATGTAGTCCTGAGTAAATCATTATCCTCTCTCTGTTTGCATCCTCCCATCTTCAGGGGTTTGCTAGCTTAATAATGCATTAGGCTTTGCAAAGCACTCCAAAAGCCTTTGATGTACACAGCTTATGTGCAGTGGGATATTTTTTTAAAAAAATAAACTCAGATAAAGTGGAGTATAATAATTTCTGGACTACCTTCTTGACCCACAAAAAGCATTATTTCCTTATATTTATTAGCACACTGAAGTGCGAGGTGCAGACATACAGAGATTCTCTATGTAGAGACCTTGTAGCTCCCCTGATTTATGGTATCATGCTCCTCCCAGCTCGAGTTGAAGTGATGGGCACAGAGACAGAGGTCCTTACCCCTCTGTCAGTAGTGTGAGACCACAGGCCTCCTGCTCATCTGGAAGAGTAGTAGGGTCTCTCTCTGTCTGCTTCAGAGATATGAAAGGCAATTAAGTCCTTTGCAGCCAGTACCTTGCCACCCCTTGACCAAGACCTTTGAGGAAGTCCAGGCCTCTCAGATCTACCATTGCAAGTCGTGAAGACAATGTTAACCTAGATCTGTCTGGTTGATTTTTGTTTTTTTGCTACTGTTTTTTAGGAAAATAGGAGAAACCAAATTATGGTATATCATTAACACTGATGCAAGGGCCTAAGATGTGTCATGTTTTAATCCACACTCAGTGTCTTGTTCTGACAGAACCAAAGTAATGAATTATTTTGTGTCTTTTGCAGTTTAGGAATGAAATTTTAACAATACATCTTCAGTTGTTATACTGACGTATCCTTGAAACGCCTTTTTCTATTCCAAGAGGTATAAAGTGGATGGATGTAAACAAAATAAAGCTTGCACCACTGGAAGAAAAACTGGAGCTCAAAACCTCTGCATTTGTGATCTCTGTGTTAGCAACCATCTGTTGCTTTCACAGCTTACAACAGCAATCGTAAGGAGAGGTTCTCACTCCCAACCATCTGTTTTTAGCGGGGAAGCCAAAAATAGACATCAGGCAGAGTTGCTAGAGGAATCCAACCTTCATGTAGCAAAGGGTAATCACTA